AGTGGGAAAAAAAAAGGAAAAAATAGTCTCCGTGACATTCAGGGGATTTTCCTTTGTGGACATGCAGAATTTCTATGAATATAGTTTTTTGTAAACATTTTGTAACAATTTTGGTTTCATAGTAACTGTGTTACTTGCTGATCATTCTAGGCTGATGTAAATAAAATTTCCAAAAAAAAGAAAAAAGAAAAAATTCTGATTATTTTCATTTTTAAGACACTGTGATATATCAAAGTGCACAGTTTGCTGTATGAAGTAATATGGTTTTAAATTTTAAATAAAAAATAATTTCTAGAAAATAATGTTTATGCCTGTTTATACTGAACAGCTCCCTTCTTCCTTGCTGAAATTTTATACCTAAACCCAAGCTGCTTAAAATGACACCCCCGGTCTCTCCTGATAATCAGCCAGAAAAAGCCAGAGAAAAAACCGACCCCAACTGACCACGAAGCCCAATCACCCCAGAAGAGCTGCTCGTGCTGCTTGCCCGAGGGGACGCGTGCGCGTTGAGGAGCGGTGATGCTGGGCTTGCCCACAACGCACGGAGAGGAAGGACAGATCCCCATCGGGGGGGTAAGATGGACGAGGAGGCTCAGACAGCGTAACTCTCCCTGTCCTCGCCTGCCTACGGGAAGTTTGGTGTCAGACAAACGAGTAAGTCCAGATGCTCCATGCAGAGCCATCTGCAGACACGGTCTCCCAACGTGGTTTGCCTGGAGGCTGCGTGTGCTTTTCATTACGGGAAGGTGCCAGAACCCGAGCCCCTCCGACAGGACCACAGGTCCCCAGCGGGCTTCAAGGTTCATAAAAGCTCTGTTTACCTGCTTTCCCTTTCGATGTAAGTCAAAAATCTTATTAGCCTGATAAAAGCTGAAAGCACCCTAAAGGCCAATGTTTATTAGTCTGAAATCTTTATGACTCTGCTTTATTATATTGAGGCAGGGAGAAAATGTCTGTGGTTTCTGGGATGGAAACGATGAGAGGGATTGGAGCTGTGCCATTCGAGGCTACAGTAAAAGAAAGTCTAAAAGCAGGGGCAGAGCCCTGGGGACAGCTGGCCCAGCCCTCGCTCCCCAAAGCCCTCCTCTCCTTCACTGCAAGAGATGGGCATTGCCCTGGAAACGTGTTTAGGGTGGCAGGCTGGCATTTTAGGCACTGCAGTGCTGCATTTATTAAATAATCCCCAGAAGTTGCCGTTTCCTGTAAGCTGAGATTTAAAAGACGATTCTTTCCCATTGTAATTATTTTTAAGGGTCACCCTCATAAATCTCTCTCATCTCTATTCACTAGAGCCCCCTGGTCATCCGCAGCTTTGACGCTCCCATTGAGCAGGGACTTTCAGAGCAGAGCCGAGTCTCACTTTTATATTCTGAACCCTGATCAATATGCAGAGAACGTGTCAAAAAGAAGAAGGGGGGAAAAAGGTAAAACCAACTGAAGCCTTTGCAAAGCTTCTTCAACATCACTTAGCATGTGAGACCTGCT